AGCTGCAGGTTTCTAATTCCCTGAATCCCACCACACTGCTTCCAAGCAATGCAGATGGACCTGAGGATGACACTTTAATCCATAACTGTTTAGAAACCATAGACACAGTGTATGCCAGCCGACCAGATCTGACTGACCAGCCTCTGCCAGACCCAGAGTGGGAGCTATTTACAGATAGCAGCAGCTTCATGGACCAAGGCCGTTGATGTGTGGGATATGCAGTGGTGACGCTCCAAAACACCATGGAAGCCAAGGCTCTTCCAGCAGGTACATCAGCTCAAAAAGCCCAATTAATAGCCCTGATCTGTGCATTGGAACTCTCAAAAGGTAAAAGAGTCAATATATTTACTGACTCCAAGTACTCTTTCATGATTCTCCACATGCATGGGGCCATTTGGAAGGAGCGGGGACTCCTTACTGCCAGTAACAAGGACGTCAAACACCCATTAGAAATCCTGCCCCTGTTAAAGGCAGTAGCTTTACCATCAGCTGTTGCCGTGATGCATTGTCCTGGACACCAAAAGGGTGGGTCTGACATGGCAAAGGGCAACAGGGCAGCCGATCAGGTGGCTAAGGCCGCTGCCCGTTCTACCCTCCAGGGTGCACTCATCCCTCTTGTGGACCTGACTCAGTATGCTCCTGAATACACTGAGCGGGATGAGGAGAGAGCTCGTGCATGGGGATTTACTGAGTTTGACCCCAGCTCCACTTGGAGAGTAAACTCCCATGGGATGATACTCCTCCCGGAGGCCCTGGTATAGCCGGTGCTAAAACATCTTCATGAAGGATCTCACTATGGGAGAGATGCCTTATTAGAAACAGTGCGCCCATATTTGAAGGGCCCATATTTGCATAAAATAGCACAACGGATCCCCTGAGGTTGTGAATTATGTGCCAGGAATAACCCCAAGACTGACTCCCACCCTAAAGCCATTGGGGTTTGATATCGGGGCAAGTGTCCTTTTGAGGACTGGCAGGTGGACTTTACACAAATGCCTAGAACAACAGGCAACATCAAATACCTCTTGGTTTTTGTGGACATGTACTCGGGATGGGTGGAAGCATTTCCCACCAAGACGGAAAAAGCTTCCGAGGTTGCAAAACAGCTACTGAAAGATATAATCCCTTGCTTTGGGTTGCCTAACTCTATCCAGAGTGATAATGGGCCGGCATTCGTCTCTGACGTTACTCATGCAGTAAGCAGTGCGTTACAGATCAACTGGAAATTGCATGCTGCATGGAGACCGCAGTCTTCCGGGCAAACAGAAAAGATGAGCCTCACCTTGAAGAACACCTTGGCAAACTGTGCCAAGAAACACAACTTCGTTGGGACCAGGTATTATCCCTTGCCCTCCTCCGCATAAGAGTGGCACCTAGAAGTGGACTACAATTAAGCCCCTTTGAGATTGTGTTTGGAAGACTTTTCCAGTCCTCGGGTCTGAAACCCAGTCTGGAAATAGCACAAGATTGCTGGATCACACAGTATGTGAAACACATCCAGGAGGTTCTGGCAGTAATTCACAACTTTGCAACCTCGAGGATCTCTATGCCTCGGATCAACCATTGCATCCCTTCAGACCTGGAGATAAGGTCTTTTTTCTTTTTCTTTTTCTTTTTTAATCATTGCACTATTTATTTATTTTCTTTAAATAAATTTTATTTTTATATTCCCCAAACAATCGCAACCCCCTTATTTTGGCACCAATTCCTCACCTCCCTGATCACCACCCCCCATAGAATGTCTCTGGTTCATAGTTTTTTGTTGATTTTCATTTTCACTTTCTCATAGTTTTTCATTTTCCTGGTCCCTTATTTATGTTTTCTAGATTCCTGCTATGAGTGAGACCATTCGGTATTTTTCTTTTTCTTTCTGGCTTATTTCGCTGAGCACGATCCCTTCCAGCTCCATCCATGTTGCTGCAAATTGCATGTGTTTATCTTTTTTGAATGCTGAGTAATATTCCATGGTGTATATGTACCACATCTTCTTGATCCAGTCATCTATTTTTGGGCATTTGGGTTGTTTCCAAAGCTTAGCTATTGTAAACAGTGCTGCTATAAACAAAGGGGTGCAGGTGTTCTTTGGAATTGATGTTTCTGTGTCCTTTGGGTAAATACCTAGGAGTGGAATTGCTAGATCATATGGAAGCTCTATGTTTAGTAGGTACAGAAATCTCCACACAGCTTGGAGATAAGGTCTTACTGAAGACTTGGCAGAGTGGGGATGCTCAAAATCAGCTGTCAGAAAAATGGACTGGTCCCTATGGTGTTTTGCTGAGCACACATACTTCTTTGAAACTTGCAGGCAAAAAACCCTGGGTACATCATTCCAGAGTTAAGAAAGCCCCAGGAGGAACTGACCCAGAGACGAAGCCCCAGTGGTCTTGTGAACCCATTGAGGACTTGTGATTATTTGTTTAAGAAACAGACAAAAACTTAAATGTTACTGACTTCTTTTCCAGTTATTGTTGCAGGGTACCCAAGGACTCACTTTTTCTGAAGAAACCCTGAGAAAACTAACATGCTCTAACCAATCTTCTTCCTTTTGAAGTTTAGGAGACGTGAAATAACATCTAGGATCATGCATATGCTGCCAGTATTTTTTTTACACAGAAAGGCATTCAATCTTGATTTTGGTATTTCCTTTTAACTTTTTGTTTTTAACTTTGAGGTTTTTTTTTTTTCTTTGCTCTGCTTGTTTTTGTTACTTTGGCCTATAAGTGAAACTGCAGCTGTATGAGATATCCCACTCGTGACAAATGGTAACTAAAGAGCTCTTTGTGTCTCTATGTTGTATGTCTGTATGTCCTTTCCTTGTGTCCTTGTCTTGACCTCCAGGGGTTGACAAATTGGTACACATGGTGCCCACAGACATTGGGAAAAAAAAAAAGAGTCTCCAGTTATGAGGAACACAAAGGTTATGGTTTCATTGTCAACATTGTGCTACTGAACTAAGCTGGTGCCTTCATAGAGATTGAATATTGTTGTTTCTGTTATTTTTCTGATATTTATGGCAAAGCTTCCCAGAAATCTAAATTCAAGTACAAATTTGGTAGCCTGTCATTTGGCTGATGCAAGGAAATTTTGTGGAACCTCAGTAGAGCTCCTGAGACACTCCACAAAGTTTCTCCCTTTCCTCCTGGGAAAGGCATTAGATGAATTTGTTCTATTTGGCTCACCTAGTAGAGTAAACCTAGAAGGGAAGCATTGTCACCTGGGGAAATGGGTAACACTTTGACCTGATATGAATGTAAATTGTCAATGGTGATTTTCGCCTTGTAACATTGTATACTTCAATTGCTTAATATCTACAGAAATTGTTTCTGGAAATATAGGGAGAAAAGGGCTCAACAGATTCCTATTGATGGAACTGTTGAGAGTAAAACTTTCCTACTAAGGACTGAACAGGCTTGGAAATACACCTGATATTTACTAAGTTTTCTTTGACATAATACTGATGATTTTTTTTGCATTTTGTTCTAAATCCACAAAGTTTTCTTGTTTTGGTGACCAGGATCCGCAGCAAAGTTGCAATTTTTTTTCCAGCAAAGCTATCTTGTGTTTGCATTTTCTCTCCCCTTGATACCAACACAGCATAAAAATAGTGGTAGTAATCTTTTACTACTTATCTCAGAGTCTGTTTTTGCATAACTTCCATAGGGATTTTGTTTGCTTAAACTAAAAAATTGGATATAAGTTTCATTGTGTGGTTTTAAGTGAAGTTCTTCCAGAAAGTTGAAACAGAGCTGAACCAAGAAGAGGAGAACCTGTTTGCTTTGTTTGTAGGATTCCAGAGACCTCCAAAGAAGGTGAGGAAGCTTGCCTCCATTGGCAGGACTGGACAACACGGCCAACGAAAAGTCCCTGGTACCCTCGAGAAGAGGAAATCCCAGGTGGAGTCTGATGAGGCCAACTTTGCTCCTGAAGCCTACATGGACCGGATGTCAACAGTTTGCTCTGATCCTATATGGAGAATTCCAACAAAGCCAGCTAAAATTGCTGCTTAGTTATTCTGCCCTGTGATTTAATGCAAAAATAGGCAATATGGCTTAAAAGTACCTTTAGTTTGCAAACTTTTGCTATGCTATTCAAAAATTTGGGATCAAAGTTGAGAGAATTTGTTTTTACATTTGTTGAGCCATTTTAAGATTTTTTTTTTTTCCTGTGATCTTGACATATATGCTGTCTTGTTCTGGCTAATGCCTCCAGATGTTTTTTTTTTTTTTTTTTTTTGTCTTGGACTGATGAACTGTTTTTCCAGGAATGGAGGACTTTTGCTTTCCACAATGGACAATAACTGGAGGGACTGGTTTTCTTTCACACTGGAACCCTGGAAAATTGACATCTGAGACTATATCCCAGCATCCATATATTTGATCTTCATCACCATGGAAATGGTGGCAAAAAGTGAAAGGGGGGAATTGTTAGGGCGAAAGGATGTCCTGAGATAATCCCATACAGGCTTTATGGACTCCACTCCCACTCCAGACTAAAGCCATCAGGACATTGGGAAAGACAAATCCTGTCACCACCAAAGGGAAGGTGGCTGGGACCTGAGGGTGGAGTTAAGCAGCCAGGGTTGGTATAAAAAAAACAAACACTTGGGCCTTGGGGGGCTCACTATCGCTCGCCTCCTGGCTTCACGGCTCCTGGCTCATGGCCAGCTCTCAGAGTGCCATTTGGAATTCCAGATCGGCGGATCGGGTAGGACGCATTTAAAACTTTGTCTCCCACTTTTCCCCCTGAGCTGTACATTTCCTCATTTCCCCTTCCCTTGTAAATAAATCTTTTATTATCCTTTCGTGTGTGCCTGCAGTAGAGCATTGATAAGTCCTTTTAAGCGTGCAGGTGAGGACCCAGTCAGGCACCCCGTTTTGTATAGGGGCTGCCCTATAACACTTATGCTCAATTTGTTTTTCATATTTTTTTTACATCTTTTGATAATATTGATAACATTGGGGACCTGATAGGGCTACTGCTTCTCTGCTTTCACAACAAACATGCTCTTTCCTCCCAACAGAGGGCTCAGGTAAGGTTTACACGTGTCTTTGTCATCTTGACTAAGAGTCCATCTCTCCTGACAATGCAAGCTCCACGTCTCTGGGGTCCTCTCTCCACTCTCCATTGTATCTGCAGGGATGCAGCTTGGGGAGGCAGGAGCCAGCCAGGGAGAGGGATTCAGGGATGTGAAGAGGACATAAAGGCAGAAAACATTTGGGAAGCCCTCTCTGGTTTAGTTAGAAAAGCATTTCTCAAAATGTAGTCAATGTAGTCTGTGAAGCCCTTGAAGTCACCCAGAAACTTTCATGGGATCCATGAGATAAAACTGTAACAGGGCAGGGAGAAGGGCACCCCAGAACCTCCAAACCTGTCTGCTCTAAAAAGGTTTTGCCATCTGCTGCATCAACACAAAACATAGAGGACTTTAACCGGAAGGAACTTTAATACAATTAGTAAACAATACAGAAATGGCAAAGAATACAGTTTCTAAATCAAGCACCCAAAGTTACCCATCCCTTAGTGGGTAAAAGTCCACCCAAAAGGGATTGGCCCAGAGCAAGGCCTGAAAGCCCTCCCCAAGTCTAAAGCACCTTCCAGCAGGGATCCACAGAAAAGGATCAGAAACAACCAGACGAGTGGGAGGAAAAGAGAAAAATCAAAACCAAGATAAAAGCTGCCACTGTCATCTCCCTCTGGGTATCTCACCCACATCTGTGTCACCCAGTCCATGACCAAAAGGCAAGTGCAGTTTCTTCACATGTCTCTCTGCTCCATGTGCCTCCTCCAGGTCTCCTTCTGGCTTCATCCTGCTTCCTTCCTCCTCAGTCTCCTCTGCAGCTTCTTCTCCTCTCTTTAGCTCCACAGGCCCTTGGGTGGGGCAGGGAACGTGGAACTTCCCCTTTTCCTGGGGACCACCCTGTTACAAAACTATTTTGAAAACATAGATACCATTTGTCTTTTCACTATTTTGGCATTTGCTGAGGTAAGAATTAGTAAGAGTGGAGCTTATAGTGCCACTGCAGAAGTAGTGATTCTTCACCAGCACTTACCTGCACAAACAAAAATTAAAGCCAGTTTCACTTGAAAATGGCCTAGAAAAAAGCATTAAAAGTTATCTTCATTATTGCATCATCCTTAGCTCCACATTTTAAAATATCTGGTGAGCTGACCTGGAAGAACAAACAGAGCACTTCTGCAGCATCCCCAAACACTGTGTCCAAAGGAAAATATTTGTATGAGATGAATGAGACTCTTTTTATTTGTGGACAACACCACTTTTACCTGAAGGGATGAATGACAAAAACTAAGGTTATTTAAATTTGGTTAATTAACAGGCACTTTCCTCAAAATGAATGTCTGTTTCTTGAAGAAAATAATCAACATTTGTCATTGACAAATGACAGTAATTTTGCCTGAGAAAATAGAAGCTCTCAGAGAAAACCAGGATTATAGAAAAATGAGTGCCATTAGTACTTGACAACTTACAGTACAAATTTTTCTTTTGGTATTTGTGATTAAAAAATAAATTTTTTTTTGATCATTTGATTCCAGTGTAATTAGCATTAAGGATCTATATAACTTAGTGAAACAATGTATCACCTTAAAAAAATCATACATTAGGGGCCTACCCGGTGGCGCAGTGGTTGAGCGCTGGGTTGCGAAGCTGCCCGCGGCCTCTGGGACGCCGGTTCGATCCCCGGCTGCTCCCCGGCCACCGGAGGAGGGTCCCACATGGCGCGCAGACCTCTCCTGCCGCCCGCTGCTCCCCTCAGCAGTGTACTTCAGTCCTTCTGCCTGCTCTGCTCCCCGCTCTGGCTCTGGTGAATTCTCTCACCCTCCCGCCCTTCTGACTGTACCCAGTGCATGTATAAACAAAAACAAACAAACAAACCAGCAAACAAATAAATAAAGCATGCCTCTATTAAAAAAAAAAATCATACATTAGAACAACTTCCAATCAATATGCAAGAGAGGCCTATGGGAATGTAACAGAATAGGAAATATTCCCTGATATTATTTCAGGTTTCACTTTGCAAATAACCTTTGAGAAACTACCACCTGTATGGTTTTAATTCAGAATTACAGTGAAATATTCACAATTATCTGAGAATACTTCTAGTTTCTTCATTCCTCCAGGCTGCTGCTTCTCCCTGCCCAAATCCACTCCTCCCTAAGGTGGGGAAGGGAATTTGGAGCCTCCCCTGTCTGTGGATGTCACACTGTTACAGCATCATGTCTCCCTCTCACAGGCTCTGTGGGGTGGTGCAGCCTTGATGACCCCACACTCACCCCATTCTCTCTCCCCATTTCCTGGGGGGTTTCCGGGGAAGACAATCAGCATCATCCTGCTCCAGTTACAAAGTCTCCAAGGACTCTCCCCGACTCCTTCTCCCCAGGCCCCTGGATGGGGTGTGATGCCCCTCCCCCTCCTGCTGCTGCTGCTCTGGGGGCCCCTGGCCCTGATGGAGACCCAGGCGGGTGAGTGCGTGTCCAGCTGGACACTGTTGCTCCAGGAGGGAGGAGCAAGGAGCCCACTGTGGGTGCAGGACCCCAGGAAAGGCTCATCTCCTCCCAACCTCTTGTACCCCTTCAGGCCCGTTGTGTTCTGGCCCCTTCTGTCCTTCCCGCCTCCCCTGAGTGCTCTGGGCCCCTGAGTCTGGGCCCTTCTTGGCCACCGCCCCTTTTCACTCTCACGGCCCCCCCACCCCTGCCTCCCCTCCAGGCCCATCTCCTTGGGACCTGGGCCTGCCCTGAGAGGAGTCAGCCCGGGTCTTCCCTCCCCGCCCCCAGGCCCCCACTCCCTAAGGCTTTTCTACACCGTGATGTCCCAGCCCGGCCTCGGGGAGCCCCGCTTCATCTCCGTGGGCTACGTGGACGACACGCAGTTTGGGCGGTTTGACAGCGACTCTCCGGGCCAGAGTGCGGAGCCGCGGGCGCCCTGGGCGGGGCAGGTGGGGCAGGAGGACCTGGACGAGGAGACTCTGATCCAAAGGGACAACGCGCAGTGGTTCAAAGCGCTCCTGAGGGACCTGCGCGGCCGCTACAACCAGAGCGAGGACGGTGAGCTTCGCGGAGCGGGGCCAGGGTCAGGTCACCCCCCATTCCCACCATAAGGCCGGGGTGTCCCGAGTCTCAGGGTCCACTGACCCCTCGAGGCTGGTGGATCTGCCAGGACCCTCCCCCGGGAAGAGTCCGGGGGAACGTTCCTGTCGACCATTTCATTTTCAGTTTAGGTTTATTCAGGGTAGAGGGCAGGGTAACCGTGGGGTGTCCTTGGGGTGATCACAAGGGGTGGATTTCAGGGTCTCACACCCTCCAGAGGATGTGTGGCTGTGAAGTGGGGCCCCACGGGAGCCTCCTCGGCGGGTGTAACCAGTTCGTCTACGAGGACGCGGATTCCATCTCCCTGAGCGAGGACCTGCGCTCCTGGACCCCCGCGGGCTCGGGGGCTCAGATCACCCAGCGCGCGTGGGAGGCGGCGGGCAGGGCCGAGCGCGTCAGGCACAGTGTGCAGAGCAGGTGCTTCCCGTGGCTCCGCAGACTCCTGGAGATGGGGAAGGAGGTGCTGCAGCGCACAGGTAAGAGGGGCCACGAGGCCTCGGACCTCCCCTCTCCTGGCGCCTCACAGGGAAAATGGAATCATGGGCAGAACAGCAGCTGCTTTCTGGGCAGAGAGGGAGAGTCCCCCTGGGTGTCATGTTCTGTGCTAGAGAGAGACTCGCCCAGAAGACACCGCTTTTCTGGACAGTTAAGGAATCCAGTCTTTCCTGAGGGAGGGGAGGCCATCCTGACATAACTCTTCCATGATCCTTTGACCCCGGCAGCCATCCTGGGAACCATGAATTTCTCTTTCAAGGTGTTGTTTTTGGTCTGAGAACATTTCTGGATCTGACTCCTGCCTTTCTGTGTCATTCACCCTCCACCCAAGTCAGGAACAAAAGTCTGTGTTCTCCTTAGAGACCTGCATCCTCCTACCCTGGGCTCTCACCTGATTATCCCAGATTCTCCAGACGAGGCTGGTTTCTGGGTTTTGTGCTTCCTCCCTCCCAACCAACTGTCATGTTCTTTCTGAGGACGGTCAGTGAGGCTGCTTCAGTGTCCAGGAAGGAAATTCCCAAAGTGTGACTTTTTTGTCTCTTCTCCTCAGATCCCCCAAAGACATATGTGACCCTCCACCTCACCTCTGACTGTGAGATCACCCTTAAGTGCTGGGCCCTGGGCTTCTACCCTGAGGACATCACCCTGACCTGGCAGCGAGATGGTGAGGACCTCACCCAGGAAATAGAGCTGGTGGAGACTAGGCCTGAGGGGATGGAAACTTCTAGAAGTGGGCAGCTGTGGTGGTGCATTCTAGAGAGCAGAAATACTCATGCCATGTGCAGCATGAGGAGCTGCTGGAGCCCCAAGTCCTGAGATGGGGTGAGGAGGGGGTTGTGGGCTCTGAGCTTCTTCTCAGGGGAATCAATAGCCCTTCTGGACACCTTCAGAGGGTCAGGTTAAGACCTGGGCCTCAGGGTCTCACCTTCCCTTCCCTTCTAGTGCTCCCCTCCTTGCTGGGAGCCAGCCTTGTCATACTGGATGGGACGACATTGGCGCAATTGAGGAATGAGGCAGACACACACACAATGTCTTGTGCAAGTATCACCCACTGAGGGTCTCAGCGAGTCTTTATTTATACACTTAGGCAAGCAGTGAGATTACACCAACATATGCATGGAAGCAAAGCGGAAATAATCAGTGCATTCTTTTCCCGTAGACATCTGGCTCCTACGTGCTTTCAACAAGACAGTAGTCTTCAAGGTTAATAGATAAAAAAAACTAAACCTTACACTAAAACTCATTATTTCAGCTTAGTCAATTACTGACAGCTTATAGCAGTCGGTACACTCCTATCAGCTTAGCATCACAAGACTCTTCTATTCATATGGCCCTCAACCAGAGACCAGCTGCTATCAGGTTATCAGCTAATAGGGTTTTCTACCTAGAAACTTGTTAACACAATTAGCTTCATTTAAAAACTTTCCTAAGAAATTTCTAAAAAAAGCAAAAGAAGGAATTACTATAGCCGTTGTCCTGCGTTGCTTGTCAGGCATGTTCATGTATAACAAATTATTTCCCATTGTCAGTGTAAGGGCAGGACAGGATACTGTGCAGGTTTTCTGATCCCATGCAGATCGGGTAAAGGAGTCAGAGTCCTTAGTGAGTTTTTGCAGGTTTTTTATTTGGGGTTCACCAGGCATATGGCAGGCAGGGGTGCTGGCTGGTGCTACCAGCCTCCCAGCCCCCAGCAAGTCTTCACTCTATCTGGGCTCTCTGGCGTTCTCTGCTTCTGCTTCGGCTTCTCCTTCAGGTTCTACTGCTGCTGCTGGTGCTGCTACTGCTGCTGGCGTCCCCGTGATGCCGCCCTTAAAAGCACAGCCTTAACTCAGCTGAATCCCATCTACCTATGCCTACACCCTATTCCAGGTGCCCGCCATCAGGCATGCATTCAGGACAAGGATCCATCATCTATCCTGATGGCGGAAGGGCAGAAAAGCCTGATATTTTCTTTACCCTACAGTCAGGCAGGCCAAATTTACAGGGTTTAATTTTTAAGCAGGTAATTCTCCGTGCCATGTGCTTACAATATTCTTATACGTATAATTTATTGCCCAATTATTTTCCGAGAAGTTTTTTTTTTTTTTTTTTGTTTTATATGACCAAGGACAAAAACAAGGTGATGTTTGTGGGTTGCAGGTTAATCTTCGGCCCCATGGTGTTGGGTGCAGGGAATCTTTAGCCCCATGGTGTGAGGCCCTTTTTTTTTTTTGTTTATCAGCATCTTAGCTGGTTGGGGCAGCAAGGCCCCCTGCACCTCCTCAGTTCTCCATCCCCACCCTGGGCATCATTGCTGGCCTGGTTCTCCTTGGAGCTGTGCTCACTGGAGCTGCAGTGGCTGCAGCTGTGATGTGGAGGAAGAAGAACTCAGGTAGGGAAGGGAGTGGGGGATCTTGTCCACTGGGGGCTTTCAAATCCCAGGGAGAACTTGCCCTACCTGGTTAATGGGAATCACACACATGTGTTGCCCTGAGGGCATTGGTCCAGTCCCCCCTCACCTCCTTTCTTCATTTTTCCCAGTCATGACCTGGTCATTAGTCCCAGTTCTGGAAACTTCCCTGTTTTGCAGGATTAGAAGATTCCTTTAGGTCTCCTGACCTGACTGTTCCTGGTCTCACATGATGTTTCTTCCCACAGGGAGACAAAGAGGAAGCTACACTCAAGCTCCAGGTAAGTGTGCATCAGGAGTGTGATCCCTGTGCCCCTGGGGACAGTGTAGATGGAGACCATGGAGGAGTCACCCTCATCAGTTCCTCCTGTGGTCTCATCTCTGACCATGTTTTGTTGTGTTCTCCCCCGGGCAGTGGCAGTCCCCAGAGCTCTGAAGTATATCTCAACCCCTAAAGGTGAGACCCTCGAGGACTGCAGTGGGGCTGGGGGTTGAGGCATTGAGGCTGGGACTAGGTGATGGGGATGCTTTCAGGAGGACATCTTGAGAATGCAGTGGACCATTGATAATGTTAACACTCAGGTAATTCACCTAAATTTCTTCTTGATTATTTTCTTTCATGGTGTGAGGCAGCCTTGTGTTGGCCTGAGTGTTACAGGATTTCTTTTTGCCCACATTTTGTGGCTTTATGATCCCCTGGTTTAAACCACTCCACACCTGGGGAATGGCCCATATCCAAAAGACCAGAAACAACAAGTACTGGCAAGGATTTGGAAAAAAGGGGACAGTCCTGCATTGTTTTTAAATATAGACTGAGCCAGCCCATATGGAAACAGTATTGAGGTTTCTTAAAAGAGTGAATGTGGTTCTGCCATTGGACTCAACAATTCTACACTGAGGATCTCCTCACAGAGGATAAATACTCTACTGTGAAGGGACCTGCACTCCTGTCACCACTGCAGCACTATTTACAGTAGCCAAGCTATGGGAACCACCTAAATGCCTCCAAACAGGTGACAAATCAAGAAGAATTTGGGATTATATGTATATATTTATGTGCATGTATAGTGATATATGTTCCTGTATAATGAAATAGCATCCACGGTCAGAAAACATAACTCATGCCACTGCAGCAACATGGATAGAGCTGGAAGGAATTATGCTCAACAGAATAAGTCAAAACGAAAAAGATAGTAACTGATGATATCACTTATGTATAGATGTAGAGAAATCAAACGAAGGGCCAGATTAAGCCAAACTTTAAAACTCTCCCTTGTGCCCTGCCAAGCTGCACCTAGTGCTGACCAGGGCTGCAGACCAGCCCAGGTTTCCTGGCCCGGCAGCGCTGGGTGGTGGACTGACCCTTTCTAGTTTGACATCAAACTCATTTGACGATAAAGCCTGACTCCTGCTGACTGAGTCCCCCATTGTGTCTTGTTGCAACTGCACCACCACTGGATCCCCAGCCTCTGCTGTTTGCTGAGTCTGAGATGATCTTGTACTTGAGCTGCAGATTATGACTTTTTTTATACCACTTATATATCCAGCCACATGGCCAGAAGGTGACATCTTCTGACAAATTGTTATTCTCCTGATAGTAACAAATCTTGGTGCTTTTATCCTTTATTTTCTCTTTGCAACACTAAGTTATTTGTCTATAATTTCCTAATGTAGCATCCACAATTTTTTAAAAGATTTTTTTTTTAATTTTTGTGTAGAATAACTGGGTGAAGGCTAGAGGTGTGTGTGTTGGGGGGGGGGTGAAAAATACTCTGCTAAGGAGAGCAGTGGGCGAGACAGGAGAGGTCTGCTGCGCCATGTGGGTCAGCTTCCTGGTTGGGGATTGAACTCAGGCTGTTGCAGCGGGCCTTCTTGGTGGTAGTGCTGAGACTTAACTGTTAGGCCACCAGAGAGGCCCATACCCTCTATTTTGAAAGTATCATGTCTTGCAAGAAATTGTTTACTGTTATGTCATTACCATGGATTAAGTATTCTCACTATCTCACTGTTCCTGCTGGAGCTGAGAAGATTCTTTATATTATAGGACAACATAGGAGAGTTTCCAAATGGCTGGATTCAACTCATTATTAGCGCATGGTCTTCCTCTTTTTCACCAACATGCTGATCTGCTGGATTCACAGAGGCTTTCACCATAGACTTGTGTAAAAGCGAACCATCAGCTTCATCCTTTCTAGAAGATTCCTAAACCACTTGTAAGTCATGCTCTTCACCCTGCGGATGGCTTTCTTCAGAGTCTACCTTATCATCTCTATCCTTTTATATTTACATTAGACAAGCTGGTTTATTTAGGTTTGTACGTCTTGGTCATTATATGGACAGTTTCCATTCATGATGGTGATTTTCGTATCTTTGAATCTTAAGGCCATTTATTAATGGCTCAGCTCACCAGACACACCTTCACCTCTTCTTTGACTGCAACTGTGGACAGTATTTTACATTGTGGGATAGAATTGGAGGCTCATTCAAAAAGAAGGGGACAGAAGGAAAGCACTGCAGCCAGCAGGAAATGGAAAAACTGAAAAGATATTGCATGGAGAGGTTACAAAGGCTGAGCAGATTATTGCCCCATTATTAAATATTTTTAATGAGGGAAAATAATCTACATCCAGCCAGGAGTCATAGCAATGGAAGCGTCTGAAACTCCGCATTGAGGGCCCTGCTGAGGGATGGTCATGCTGAGAGACCAAGAGGAACCAACCTCCTGCGTAAACACCAGGGGTGACCTAAGAGGTGACTGTGTCTTTCCTGCCAGTGAATCTGTAACTTATATTGTCTCAACAATAATTTTTTAAAAAGGTGGAGAGAAGTAAATGATTGAGGGGGTCATGTTATGTCCTTTTGCTTTAACCCACCACATTCATTAAGAAAAATTTATTGAGGGCCTCCCTGGTGGCGCAGGCTGTTGACTGCAGCGCTGTGAAGCTGTCCGCAGTCTCTGCAGCGCCGGTTCGCAAAGAATATGCAATGGAGCAAAGAAAATTTGTTTAATAAATGGTGCTGGGAATACTGGACCACCACATGCAAAAAAAAAAAATGAAGCCTGACTTCTACCTCACACTGTGCACAAAAACGAACCCAAAATGGATTGTAAAACTAGATGTAAGACCTGAAACCATAAAATATATAGAAGGAAATGTAGGTGAAACACTACATGACATACACCTCAGTAACATCTTTAAAGACAAATCGCTCAAAGCAGTGATAGTGAAGGCAAAGATAAACAGCTGGGACTACATCAAATTAAAGAGCTTCTGCACAGCAAAAGAGACTGTAACCAAAACAAAGAGAAACCCCACCCACTGGAAGAAAATTTTTGCACACAACACTAATGATAAGGGACTTATCACAAAAATCTATAAATAGCTGATGAGACTCAACAAAAACAAAGAAAATAATCCAGTCAATAAATGGACAGAAGAGCTAAAAAGAAACTTCTCCAAAGAGATAATGCAAATGGCCAACAGGCATATGAAAAAATGTTCAACATCACTTGTAATCAGGGAATTGGAAATCAAAACTACTTTGAGATACCATCTTACACCAGTGAGAATGGCACATATTTTAAAAACTAGCAACAACAAATGTTGGCGAGGATGTGGAGA